CAATTACAAATCTGATTTTTAGATGAGGCTCAGCTTTTTCAGGTATTTTAATTTCAAGGGGCTATTTCTCTAACATTAGCATTAAGATGAGTTTTTCACTAGAGAGAAACATTTTTGGTGATTGTTATGATGGCTGGTAAACTGATATCCTAAGTTCATTTTGAAACATTTGCCAATAGAAATCTATTTTGCAGAGTTCTGTTATCAATTAAGCATCACTAAAAGTAAAATTTGTGTGGAAGTGCTTGTCATCTACTGGATGATGCTTGATTGCCCATTGATTTACAGATGACTGCACAGCTGCTAAGTGCTGGCAGGAGAAAGTGGAATCCATAAAAGGCAACAGCTGTCTCAACCCATTTTTATTATTTTGTTTTTTATTCTTAGTCATCTTCACCTAGTGCTCTTATACTTTCTCTTCTTTTTACTTTGTGAAGATTTCGCATTTCCCTTTCATTTGCTAGAAACATGCAGGGTCTGCCTTTAATCCAGGACATCAATGTTTGACATGAGTAATCAAAGCAGTTGTTAATCTGTTATTATTTTCATAAGTATTTAATCTGAAATACATTATCTGCTCATTCCTGTTTTGCAGCTGATTAGGTGATCAGTAAGTATATGCTGGGGTTTTTGTCTGTGTCATGGTGGGCTCAGAAAAGACTTCCTTTTATGTGTTACACTATTTTATAGTCAGTGAGGCACTCTTTATGTAAAGCATGTTTAATTAAGTTGTGAACCACTGCAACTATGTGTGCACTTGCCATATAGATCTCATATGTTAACCTGATTCTATAAACTATTGACAGCAATTGATCCTATTATTTGTATATTTTTCTCTCTCTCTTTGCCCTTGCAGCTTTCTGGTTGTTTGGTCTTATGCTTGAGTTGGGGGAGGGAGGCAGGGTTGGTGGTTTATTCTTTTAAGAAAGCCAGTGGTACAAAATTATACTAAATCTACTTTTTTTTTTTTTAAAAGTAATTTATAGTTGAACAGTGGAAACTTTGGTGTGGTCCCTGAAGCTGGCAAGTGCCTGTTGGAGTTTTGTCTCCCTGAACTGTAACTTTCAAGGGCATTTATCCAGATGACAGTCTACACAATCATGTGTGTTAGTGAAAAGTAGCATGTAGTGTCTGCCTTCTGAGAAATATTACATTTAAAAGAGGCCTTACATAACTGCATATTTTTTATTAAAATGAGTAATGTTTCTAACTTGCATTCAAAAGCTTCGGTTAGATTTTTCAGATAATTCTGTGGTCTCTGAAAATTTTACCCATTGTAGGGCTGCCCATAAACTTTGGAAATAGAATCTTGCCAAATGTGATGGTGTTTCATTGTCTCACTTGTTCAAGCTAGACACAGACTTTAAAAAAAAAAAAAATGTATAATGAAGGGCTGTTTCTCATAGTAGCAAGCAGAACTCATGAAAATCTTTCACTGACGTTTTAATGAGTAGTATTGCTTTTCTCTGTTGCCGCAAAACCTATGTCTTTAGTGTAGTTTAAAGTATGTCTCAATTATACAGTAAATTATTTGAATTTGGATGTCATATTCCAATACTCCATGTATTTCTTTTCTCCCCTAGATAGAGCTTTTAATTTTAGACTTTTAATTTGGACTGTTGGTAGTTTTGCCCAATAGTGAAACTACAAAATACTCCAAAAAATTAATTTTGCTAATTTTAAATTTAAGGTCTTTTTACTACTTAATTTAATTCTAGCAGTATTTATTGTATGAAAAGTACAGCCGTTTCTGATGCTTTGCTTTTTTCTTTCTGATTATTTTGGCTTTTCTTATTTCTCTAATCACTCTAAGTGCAGACTCTACATTTTTGGTTGGGATCACACCCTCACAAATTTAGGGATGTTTAGTAATAGAAAATTGTAAATGAAAATGAATTTTCATATTTCAGTGATAAGAATGGGGTCAGAGAAGTGCTTTGACATGTTCACTGGTTATCCTGAAAGTAAGTTTATCATACTAAGAGTTAACTAATGTTTTTTTCTTTTTTCTAGCTGGAAATCTTGTGTTCAGTCAATATTCTACAGTTCATATTTATTGCACTCAGACTAGATGAGATCATCAGATGGCCATGGCTTGTATGTAACCAGTATTTTCTTCTTATCTTTGTTTAAATGCTGAATTTCATAAAGATATTTATTCTAGGGAGCAGTTGATACGTGGTCAGTCCATGATCCCATTTTTGCTTGCTTAGCAATGCTTCACTGAAGGTCTGACATCTCATTCAGTGGTCATGGGAATCAGAGGCTGTTCTTTGGGTACATCATCCTCTGAGGCAGAGGAACATGCCATCAACTGCAGTTCATCTCTGAGCCGCAGTTGAAAGAGAAACCCTCACCCAGAGTTCCCAATTGGAACACTAAACAAGCCATGAAAATGATTGGTGAGTTAGAGAATGTTTTGGTAAATACAGCATGGTAAATAACTACTTTTATTTGCTGTGTTACCATGAATGTAAATCCACTTACTGTGCAAGTAGTCACTGTCAAAACTGCTGAGATGTCCTGTCCCAAGTGCCTTTAGAATACAAAAGGGCTGTTTCTGTCTCTGGGTTTTTGTAAACTACCATAAAACTGTCAATCTCTGTCCTTTCTATTGTCAAAGAACTTGAGAAAGGATTTAAACTCTAAAGTAAGGTATCCAGTGTGGAAGCACTTGCTAAAAATCAGTTTTTAGTACAGTCTGAGCCCACGCAAAATCACAGAAGTCTTACCTAAGTTGAACTGCATTGCCTTAATTTTAAATTGTTTCAACTTGATGGGGTTTAGAAAGCTGAGGAACCCCTGAAGTGATTATGTCTTGAAACAACACACGTGAGTTTGATGCCCTTCTGTTAGACATTAGTTCAATACTTAATTTTCTTGTTTAGGCTTAACATGTAGACTCACTTTATTAAAAAAAAAAAAAAATGCACAACTGAAACTAATCAAATATGTCTTTTTTTCAGGTTGTCTGTGTTCCACTGTGGATCTTGATGTCCTTCCTGTGCCTTGTCGTGCTCTACTACATCGTGTGGTCTGTGCTGTTCCTGCGCTCCATGGACGTGATCGCTGAGCAGAGGAGGACACACATCACCATGGCTGTCAGCTGGATGACAATTGTAGTTCCACTGCTCACATTTGAGGTAGAAAAAGCCATCATGAGTTTGATGTGTCTTGTTCTTTTTTCAGTAAGTAATGAATGATGATTTTTGAACTTACTGAAATGAGAATGCTGCTCTTTGTTTTTGGACTAAAATATTAACAGCAAAGATGCAACACAAACAAGAATTCTATGTTCCTTTAAGGTTTTTTAAATCTGAATCACATTAGAAGTATAACTACATGCTTCTGTGAAGGCCACTTTTTCCTCACAGATGTGTGAAGTTAAAGATTTCAGATCAGCCTGTGCTTTAAGCAGTTTGAAAGTGAGTATTGCAATTAAACTGACATAGTATAATTTTTTTATTTCCATTTAGATCTTGCTAGTACACAGACTGGATGGGCATAATTCTTTTTCATTCATACCCATATTTGTTCCTCTCTGGCTTTCACTGATAACATTAATGGCAACAACATTTGGACAAAAAGGAGGCAATCACTGTAAGTATTTCAGAATCCTGGAAACAGATTAAAAATCAATGTATTTTATTAAGATTTGTATTTTCAGAAAGGGCTTTTCTGTTACTACCAATTTCAGGCAGTTGTAATAAGGTTTCAGTGCTTACAGTGTCCTCCCTGGTGACACCGTTTGCTTTGATTGAGGTGCAAAGTTTTTTGTGTTCCTTCTCTGTACTGATGTGACCTAACACTGTGTAATGTGTTAAACGAAATGGATTCTTGCTGGGGTAATGGAGCTGTAATTGAAGCAGATGGATAAACATACAGGCCTGCATGTGCAGACATGGACCTGTGCAAATGCTTGTCCAGACTGTCTGTGTGTATATAACCTGAATTGTAATGTCATGATAGGTGTAAGAAATGTGGAGAAGCAGCATTAACAAATCTTAATTATATGCAAACAATCAAGAGACCTTAAATAGTCTGTCTACTTAATTAAGCATTGATTCTGTTAATAATGTAAAATGATTTTGTTTCTTTTAGGGTGGTTTGGAATTCGCAAAGACTTTTGCCAGTTCCTGCTTGAAATTTTCCCATTCCTGCGAGAATATGGAAATATCTCTTATGATCTTCATCATGAAGATAATGAGGAGACAGAAGAAACGCCACTGCCTGAACCGCCAAAAATTGCACCAATGTTTCGAAAAAAGACTGGAGTGGTCATTACACAGAGTCCTGGAAAATATGTGATTCCACCTCCCAAGCTAAACATTGATATGCCAGATTAAGATGACAGTAGCATATTAAACTTGAAGTGGTCATCAGCAGACAGATGTATTTCATCTCATGCCTTGTCCCAATTCCTTTCAAATAGGTATTGCTGAATCAGTGGCTTGGATTACACAAATCAGAAATCTTGAAGATAATCTAAGTGCTTTTCCAGAAATATATGGTTGTCTAATTTGTGAACCTTCCTAACAGGTTGGTTGCACGCTTGCCTGTATAGTATTTATATGAACATTTTTAGCAGTGTAATATATTGTTTAAAAGTCCTGTTGTGTACAGTATAAGTATTATCTAAAAGTATTTTTTTAAAAACCCTGTATGAAATGCCTGTGCTATTCCAGGTGTCTTTTAGGTCCTAAATATACACTTGTTTTTGTGTCTCTTTTAAATGCTTTGGGATACCTTAGCATAGTACCTCTTTACTTCTTTTCTCTGTTCAGCTGCAATCATCACAGAGGCACAAGTGTTGCACTTCTGAGGCAACACTGGAAAGCTTTTTTTGGGAGGGGAAGTAGAATGTATGGTGACTTACATGATGATTTTGAGTTAGCTGTGTAAATATTCATGTAAGTATTTCAATTTTTGTGCTGGCTTGGGAGTTGTTTTTGTTGCTTTTCCAGTTTCATGTTTTGATTCTTCTTGAGCAGCATGTACCATTCTCCCATTAGATTGGCTGTGTAATAAGCTGTTTCTCACATTTTGTGGTCTATGCCAGAAACATTTGTGGTAGGTTTCACAGCTGTTGGTTAGCTGGTATAAATATCATAGCTTGGTCTTTGTTACCAACTTTGTGTTGGTCAGTGTAAATGATTAAACTTTTCAAGATAGGATCTTGTTGGTGTTGGCATAGCATTTTCTTGTCTGAAGGAAGACCTGCTCCGACAGTGTGCCGTGGACTTAAAGATGCTTTGGAGAAATGGAGTCTATGAAATGTGTAGTCCTGTAGTTTATAAAACCAGATGTTTCATATTCCCAAACCCTTGCAGCTGCTTTCTCTGTTTAGGTAACCCACAGTTCAGATAGGTTAGATACCTTGGGTTTCATTTCTTTAGTGTTAGAATGGCAGGAAGAGCAGGGACTCTGTGGAAATTTCTGCATGTGTTCAAGGTGTATGCCTGAAAAACTTGAATGCAGCACTTCCATTTCTGATGCTCCAGAGCTCCCCTTTCTTGCCTGTGGACCAGCTACTTCCTGAAACCCAACCCAGCACTGTCCCATCCCACAGTTAAATTTTGTTGCAGTTTTATTTTTTATATTATTTATATACATTTTATTATATTCTGGTTCAACAAATCAAACAGCAGCGGGATTGTTACTGGACATCAATTTGCCTGCACACCACCATGGAAAAGAAAGCCAGACACGGAGCTTTAACGAGAAACACGTCCCAGGAGGAGAGCAGTCCATGCACAGCAGGGGCGAGGGAGAACAGGCACAGCTGTGCATTGGGGGAGGCCTCACCTGCCAAGCACTGTGCTAAGGCACCTCCAGGCAGTGGTGCCCATACAGCTCCATCTGCTGCTGCCCAAACACAGAGCAGCTCCAGCCTCTGCACCTTCCCTTCAGCTGAGGCACAGCAGGGCCTGGCTGGGGCCAGGGAGCTGCTCAGGGAACTGACCCAGCCCTGCCCTGCAGTCACTTCCCACCCCTGCAGCTGTGCTGGCAGCAGCTTGCTCTGTGTCCAGGTCATGGCTCAGCTCCGTGTGTGGTTCACACAGTGGAGCTGCAGGCATTGGCTCTGGGCCACAGCTCTGGCAGAAGTGCTACAGTTCAAGGGAACAGGTTCCTAAGTGCCCCAGTAAAGTGTCTGAATACAAAGGCTCTGCCACTTGTCTTGTTCTTAGAGCCATGCCTAGGTGTGGCCTTGCTCCAGAAAAGTAAAAGGAGTTTCACTGTAATGAAAAACTCTTGAGAGTGCCAAAGCTTAGTGGCTATTATTTGTAATTTTTCACACTTGTTTTGAATTCAGTATTTTATTTTCAAAGATAGTTTTTTTCATCTTATTTAAGAGGGGAAAAAATGTAATACTTGCTCAATTTCATTTTGTACAAGCACCTTCTCAAAATGGACTTTCTGTAATGTCAGGTCACAGAGCTGTATTCATCTTGTGTGCCTGAAATGTGAATGAAAAGAATCTATCTTTAAGGCAGGAAAGGAGTGGAAGGAGTGGTCTGGGACAGATGTCCTGTAAATTGTGGAAACCTGCTTTTTAAGCAAGCACCATTTTCCTATAATCAGAGATGCAGGTATCAAAAAATAATTTTAATTTACATTTAAATTGACACAGAGTGCATAACTGTACATTTAAAAATGACATTTACTTAGTTGTCTATACATGAAAGATCTAGAAAAACAATTTCATGTCTTAAAGACACATCTTGTTTGTTTTGCTTCAAAAAAACAGTTCTTCGAGTGTATTTGCCATTTCAAATAGTTTTGGAATAGAATCCTAAACAAGATGCTGGTGTAATTCGCAAGTCAGCAACTTAAATACAAGTCTGCATTTAGGCAGGAAAAGTAATAGTAAAGGGCAACACCTACAATTCTGAAGGGATCAGTTCTTCAGGGATGTCCACCTGCCACACCCCAGTTCTCCCTCTGGCAGGAATTGGTTCCAGGAGCCATCTGGGATTTGAAACAACAGTCAAGTATTTCTGTTCTAGATTACTGAGGACAGCTTTGTTTTCCAGCTCCAGAATCTCTTCAGGAGGCAGGTTTTCTGGATATAGTGATGTCTCTCCAATGTCAATTAAACCTGTATATGACAATTAAAATACAAAATTAGTTGCCAGTTTGATCTCATAGAGAGAAGTTTTCCACAAGTATTCCTCCCTGAGGACACAGAGAACAGCCAGTTTGATACCAAAAAGGCACAGTTAGAGAGGCACAGGTCCCACCTGTGGTGTTTGCTGCATGTGTCCATGGGACTCAACTCAGGTAGGTGAAGAAAAGGAGGGCACAGTTAAAATCACCAACCCAGTGCTGCAGAACTCCTGGAAAGCAGCCTGCATCTGAGGAGACACAGCTGCTACCAAAACTCCTGAGCTACATTTGGACTTGGACCAGCTTCAGTAAAGCATAAAACTCTCTGCTCCTCTCAAGCCACTATTCTATTAACATTATTAAATCATTAAACTATTTTGAATTTCCTACCTACACCACAATTAAGCATGCAATTTATGTTAAGGCTGCAAATCTACATATTATGTAGGGCCTACAGTTTTCAGCACTGCAGAACCATAAAGTTCAGTGTTCATGATAGAATTAGTTTTTTGTGCAGAACAGCTAAAAGTATTCAAATGACAGTGAAAGATGGTGTAAAAATTACAACAAAATAGTACAAAATGAGCACTAAAAACTTTTTAAGTGTATAGTGCACAACATCTGCTATATATCAGCACAATTTATGCAGTGAAACATCACTGCTTCTTCACTGTGTGTTACAGAAACAAACTTCTTCACTGCCCAAATACAGAAAGCGATAGAGGGGGCTTGTAAAATTGAAAGAGGACTTTTTTATATAGTTATTTATGTATACTTGAAAATGACATGCACAATGCTGCAACATCATGAATTTACTTGACCACAAGTACTGCAAAATGGTTTCAGCAAGAGTTCTAAGCTGAAAATGCAAGAAGTGTGAAACTGACATGTATTATGCTGAAACATACAGGAATTGAAATAGACCCCCCCATCACAACTCAGTGTCCACTCCTTCAAAGAGTTAAAGAAATATCTCAATGAGCACAAACACATAAAGCAGATGTGACTGTTAAGGGACTGAATGTTTGCTTACAAAATATAATCCAAGGACGCTTACCTGCAATAACTCCTCTGCCATATTTTTCCCCTTCATCCAACAAATCTTGCAGTTGTTTTGGAGTCATGCCGAACCTATTCAGAAGAATTTCTCTCCATGTTTCATCTTCCCAGTCCTTAACAGCTATATGAATAGCAATGGTGCAGTTCTTGTACCCTGCTAGCAAAGGACGCCAGCGAGTCTCTACTGTTTTGACTTGATTTAGAAGCAACCCTGCGTAGGGCTGTCGGAAGGAAAGGCAACCGAATCTCATCGCGCTCCTCGCATTAGAAGCCGTTTGTTTCCTGTAAACACACAGGGCCCGGGGCTGAGGCTCCAGACGCGGCCGCTGCCCGTGACAAGCGCGCGGCTCCGGAGCCGCGGAGCTCCGCGGAAAGCGCTGCGCGGCCTCGCCGGGGGCGGCTCCGCCCCGCGGGCCCCGCTCTGCCCGAACAGCCGCCCCCGCGGCCGGCCACGGGCACAGCCCCGGCCCCGGCCCCGGCCCCGGCCCCGGCCCCGGCCCCGGCCCCGGCCCCGGCCCCGGCCCCGGCCGCCGCCTCACGGCCGCCGGCGCTGCCCCCGCGGCCCGGCCCGGCTCGGCCCGGCCCGGTCTCCCTGCGGTGGGGCCCCCGCGGTCATGCAGGCCCCGGGGCCGCCGCCTACCTGCGCCGCCGGCTCCGCGCCCTCCGCCCCGCACGGTGGGTGCCGGGAGCGGGGCGGGGCCGGCCGTGCTGAAAGGAGCGCTGTTCCGCTGGCTTCTCGCCGTCCCGGGAGGAGGAATGGGGTTGTGGCCTGGTCCTTGGCGATGCGGGGCGGCGAGGGCCCGGCTGAGGGGAGCAGCGGGTGCCCTGCCCGGCGGTGTGCGGGGAGCGCTGCCGGGCCCGGGCGATGCGCTCGGAGCGCTCCGAGCCCGCAGCTCCGCGGTGCGCCCGTGCGGCCCCGCAGCCGTGCGGGCCTTCCGCGCCTCTGCCCCGAACTGAAGTATTCAGCCCGGGCACATGCAGTGGCACTCACCTCCCTGCTGTCTCTGGCCGCTGGTTTGTCTGGGACAGGATTTCCCGAAGTGCTCTCACCCAGCCCTACTCTCTGAGGACAGTCCTACCCGAATACTGGTGCGTGGTTTGCATCAAGGCTTTGCCCTTCTAATACAGGCGTTTTGAACAACGCTGTTACTGTTTGGCAATAGGTTTTGTGTGTGCTGGTCCCGCTCTGAGCCCTGGCAACAGGGAGCAATGGTTGAGGGCCTAGTAAGCACAGTAAAATTCAGAAACCTTACAAGAAAAGATAATTTGGAAAAGGAGAGGGTTAGAATAGATGTATAGTCATGCTATATGTGTTTATTTTATGTCAGTGAATACGTGTGTGTACATGGTAATTTCCAAGGTATACAAATCAAAGTGACCTCATTAAGGCAGACAGGGATACTAGAAATGGCTATTGACGCAGCAAGTTGAAGAGTTGAGTCCTGCCTGAATTTCTGCAGGTGCAGAAGATAAAAAATTGCAGCTGTTTCTCTGTCCAAATAAAAATCACAAGAGATTCATCTCTCCTATAAAGCCATAGCTTTCACCTGAGGGCAGTAAATACAAGTATTTGGGGAGCTTTGCCATGCAATATGCATACAGCATTTGAGAGAAAGAAAGGGAGGGGAGAATGTTAACCAAAATGACTGAGTCAGGAGAGACAGACAAGTAGAAAACGAAAAGTGTTAGAGAAGGAAAAGAAAAAATGGTAGTATTTACAAAGGAGAAAAGTAATGATGACCTTTCTTTTGTCTTTTTCTCTGTTGAACCACATTTCTCAACCATGAGAAATCTCAGTTACTTTAACAATTCCAGGAACTCACAGGTGGAAAGAGTAAAGTGATCTGCTGGAATTACACTGAGAGGGAGATGGGTGGATCCTATGCTTAGAAGGGCAGAGGAACTTCTTACAGCAAAAGGTAAGACTGATGATGGGTTTTTTCATCCAGGTCTCTGAATTTGTGAATAATGGATATGTATTGGTAAAACCTTACAAGTAACTTTAGTATTCTGTAACTGCTGGGTTAAGTGATCATTTTCTGATGCTAAGCCCTTCACGTAACTTTTATGAGAGCCAGTTTTGGCATGTGCTTTAAATACACCTTCAGCGATTTTTGTATGTTTTTAAGTATTTTATGGCAAATAGAATTTAACTGTTGAGACTTAGTTTTACTTATTACCACTTTCTGAAATTTCTGCTTCATTATCCTGCTTTCCCCCTGGATATTTCCAATATCTTGTTCGAAATGTTCCAGATGGAGTCTGGAGAGAAGAGAAATTAATAGATGACGTGAATTTAAGTTCATTGTAGTTTTTAAAGGGTTGTAACTTTAAATGCTTTTTTGCTTTAAGCTGTTTCCATCTTACTAGATGTGCATGGTTAGCACAAGAACCTGTTGAATCTGTTTAAAGTTGCAAGTGTGTAATGAGCTTTCATGGGGGTTTTGGTATTTGCTTTTGGTATTTTTCCACTGTATAATTGTATTTTATGCAGGAGTTATTTCTTTTGGGGAAAATATAGGCCAGAGTGTTTTCATGTTGTGTAAGCAGCTTTGTTTTTGTTCATGTACCTTTATGGCACAATTTTGTATAATGGGTTTCATCACATAAATAAAATAGATTTTTTTTTTCTTGTTCTAAGGAAAAATCTCCAGGGTACTTAAAATCTCAAGTATAACAGCTTTAAACGAAATATAAATAGGAGAAGATATGCGTGCTGCTACCAAAGGTGAATTAATATGTTGAAAATCTCCTCTCACAAAACAGCATTACTTGGTTTGTAGAAACCTTGTCCCATGTATTGGAACACTCACCAGAAGACTTAACAATTTCTATCAGCATGTAAATAAGGCTCTGTAATTAGCAGTCTTGTGTATTGTTCAGCCTTTTGTGTGATGAGTGGTAAAGGGACTCTAGTAGGTTTTCTCAGGATTGAAGATAATGATTCAAAGATAATGTACAAAGTGAATATAAAAAAGAAAATTCATTCTGATCTTAGCAGTTGATGAGTTTATGCTTGGCCTCTTAGATGCAATTTATTGTTTTCTGGTCACTGTGGCTTTCACATGCTAACACCAATCCCAAATTATCTCCTCTTGGTGCAGTACCTCACATACAATCTCACCAACAGGAAATTCTGCCACATGTGTCTGTGCTTCCATAACCCCTACTTCATGTCAATGTCTCTATATTAGCTTTTCTTAGGGTGTCCCTAAATTTAATTTTGATAGAACACAAACTACATAATTCCCATTACAGAATGAGGTAATGCTTTCTGTGGAGCTAAAACAATGCATGGTACATCATTTACAAGGACTTGGGTCTGATCTCATCTAGATAGGCAAGGATTGCTGTGTTCCTTGTTGCATTCACTTACGAGCTGATTTTACAGGGCTCAGTACACAGCAGTAGGGGCTGGGATATCTTGTGTCAAAATCAGGTCAAGGAACTTGATCAGCTACAGTTCTCTTCCAAAGTGGGGACTGATGTGGTGCAGTATGTTCCAGGAAACTGGGAGTCAAAACTGAAATTTCAGCTGTTAATAACACATGAAATACAATTCCATACAATTATTTGTATTGAATGGTCACTATTTTAATAGTTGACATGCATGAGAATCTGTACTGTGTTGACATTTGAACATACACTGCAGTTTAGAACATCAAACAATGTGAAATGTGATGCTGCAGCTGTATTCTTTTGGCAGTAATTCCATCATAAGGACTTCTACCAGATTTCTACATTTTGCCCCCTTTGCCTTAATTTTGGTCAGTCTCTGCTTCTAACATTATAGTTAAAATAACACTTATATTTTGTCATGCTGTTTTGTATTTCTTTGTACTTATCATAAGAAATTATGACTGTCTTAAGCCTGGTTCAGCAAACATACCTCCAGTTTCTTTAGATGATTCTCTTTATTACCAGATTTGTTGCAACACTGTGTTTTCTCTTTTTTTTTTTACACATGCCTATCCCCCCCCACCCTGCAAGTAGAGCATATTTCTGGGCTGTAGCACATCAGTGACATCACTAGCCTTGTAAAAAATTTGGGCATTTTAATAGTCATAGATTGTTGGTGACTTACAGCAAAGTTTTCTTGTGTCTGAGAAATATTTTCAATATTACAGTATATTATATACAACAGGCCAAAGCATTAAGTATTCTTTTCAGTACTCTACAATGTGCCAGACACCCCTAGACCCATACTGCCCCCGACACGTGCAATGTCCTGCCTTGTCCCTTTTCCATTAGATCTTGCTGCTGAATTTTCCTTGGGTTTGCACTGGGCATCAGTTGTGTGAGCATGAGACAGCCAGGTCTGCTGCTGACTTTCATCTGCTAAGTGATTTATTTCTAAAATTATAGATAGCTAATACTTAGAGACCATCCTGGTTCTTCTGCTTTTCTGAAGGTTAAAAGAAGGTTGCAGCTATAGGCTGAGCCTGAAGCTAGCTGATTTAGAAACATCTTGTGTAGCTCTCCATAGCAATCTTTTTTGATTGAGATACGTGGCTTCATGCTGAGGTAATCTGCAGGGGAAGGAGAGCTTGTAGTAATGAGCTCTCCTTCCCCTGCTGATTATTATGTCCAATCCACAGGCAACTCTGCTGTATGTGGCTGCATAAAACATTTTAAAAGATAAGACTGATCAACACCTTTTTATGGCCATAAGCCCTCAACCAGGGTTCATGCCCTCTGAAATGCTGAAAACTTTTTTAAAATTAATTTGCACTTCTGCTATAAAGGGAGTAGGTATCTTTAATTCTCTAATTGATGCTGTCTGTCTAGCTTTATAATTATTTGGGGTTTTAATCTGTTTTCAGATGCAAGGTGTTACTGCAAGTTTTAAAAAATCATAAAGAGCTATTTCTAATAGATAAGTAATAGAACGTTTACACTACTAAACTATTAATGACTTCCTTTGTTTCCTTTGTACAATCTGCATTATGTGACAGTTAAAATTCTTGGGAGTTCTTCCACAAATTCTGCTATGTTTGGCTAAGTACCTTTTTGTTTCATCTAATCAGGAGACACTTAAAGAAAGAAGAGAAAATGCATTGCCTCACCATTTTGAATGAACCACAAAAGATACTCCTGACAAGATCTGTAAGAAAAAAATTCATATGCAGAAGCAATTGCATTTTCCACTGTGTTCTTTTATGACTAAAACGTTACTTTTGACTATTGATAAAACACTAATCAAAATGGAAAATGCAGTTTTCATTTGAATTATCTTCCTCTCTGAGCCATCTTCCCTGAGAGCAGTTCTTCTTCATCAGGGGTCAGTTTAGTTCTGTTTCTTGCCTTTTTGATGGGAAGGTTTTTTCACTTGTGGTTTGAGGACTTCTGAGATAATTTCTGTTTGGTTGTTGTGTCTGTATAGTCTCTCATAGAGCAGGTACCAATTAATGATTTGTTATATTACTGGGAAGAAAATTATTTAAAAATTCAGTGAAGATGTTGCTTCTTGCTGATACAGGTTGTTTTTCTGTTCTTGCTCTCTTAAAATATTTGCAATAAAGGGGAAACTTACAAAACACAAGCATATAGATATCTCTGTAGAGTTGCTGTGCATGTTTATGATGATTAAAACTGGTTTTTGCATTCTACATAAGATTTAAAAATAGTTACCTTCTGACTTGCTCTTCCTAATAAGCTCTTATGTATACTAGTGAGTTTTGTGAGTTTCACTGCAGTAATAACCATTCTATCTGTGATTATTTGTTTTATATATGTTGAATTTTACGTCATATTTTGAAGTAAACTGTCTCATATTTTCCCTGTATTCTTTTATTCCTTTGTTTTCAGGATGTTATATATATATATATCAGACTTAATTGCCTTCTTAGTTGTCCAGCGTTATGATTTCCACTTCCTTATTGTCCCCATTAGCAAATGCAGTATATTTTCATCATATAAGCTTTTACGCCAACTTGAGCATGTCCAGAAATGTAGGCTGGTAGTGCCCTGTGAAGTTAGTTTGTAATTATAAAATGTAAACTCAAATGCTGCAGTGGTAGTAAGTTCAGTATCTCTGCTTCCTTTATTTCATCACTTTTATTTTTTCACGTTGTTACATTATTCAGTAGTTTCTTAAAGTTCATGTTTCTTGTGAGTCTGAGGGTTTTTTAGCTTTGGTATTTTGTAGGACTAAGTTCATATTTATATTCAGATTTAAACTTTGTGATTAATCTGTGCATGTTCCCTTTTCAATTCTGTATGAATTATGTTATTTGCTGTTGTTCACTGTGAGGATGACTGAGCACTGGACCAGACTGCCCAGAGAGGTTGTGGAGTCTCATTCTCTGGAGATATTCAAAACCTGTCTGGATGTGACCCTGTTCCACCTGCTCTGGGTGACTCTGCTTTAGCAGAGAGCTTGGACCCCCCTCCAGCCCCAGCCACTCTGTGACTGTGATGGTTTGTTTGTGTTGTTATCACTTCGGGGGGTTTTGCTGACAGTTCTGTAGTTTTGCCTCTATATAACAACAAACAATTGATAGTATAGTGTTTTAAAGTACTTTGACTTGCCAGTGTTTGAAGAAAGGCTGACATTTTAAAACATGATTACATAAGTTTAGCCTGTGAAAAATTGAACAATTTAATTTATATGTTCATTGATGAGAATGCAGATAAAAGTTGGTGAAATTAGTAAGTTGGTCATATACAGAACTCAGAATCAACAAGTCTCCTGCTATGAGTCTGGTCAGAAGGTGTTACCTCCTCTAGAAGGGTCTTTACTTTCATGTTTACATCAACAAACATGAGGGATGGATCTATATAAGTAAATATGTCATAATAATCCTCTGTGGCATTTAAACATCTGACATACAAATTTAAAGTGTGCACAGAAATTACTAGACTTAAAACTAAATGCTGTTAAATCTGTGCAAAGTCTGAAACTAACAGTTCTGGATATAAATATTTAAACTTTCTTCAAGTCTGATGTATCAATTTTGGCAGTGCTGCAGACAGTAGAGCCTCTAGTGTTGTTACTGCCTGTGAAAATGGCACAGGGCAAGTGCAGTATAATAAAGTCTTGCAACTTTAGATTCCTACATATAAATTATTCCTATGCTGAGTGCTTAAAATCTGAAGTCATGACAGTTTTTAACCTCAGGAACTATGGAATCATGTTGATGAGAGAGAGCAGGACTGTGAAGCTGCTACAGTATTTACTAATTTATTGTCTATGACATATTGTATCACTGTTTAAAATGCTTGTACAGTACATCACAAGCTACCAGAAACATCATCACCCATACTGTGTGTTCTGCCTAAAGAAACTGGACATCTGAAGGAACTTGTTACTGTAGTTCTATTTTATTTATTTTGTTAATGCCTTCTTCCATTTTAGTAAGATAGCAGTTACTGTAGCCAATTTTTTTTTTTTTTCAGTTGGTTGGTTTTTTGGGGGGTGTTTTGTTTTGTTTTGTTGTTTTTAATAGCTAGTTACCACAGACAGGTAGCAGTTTCCTCTGCAGCTTCAGAAACAAGAGAATAAACAAATAGCTGATTAATACTAAGGTTTTTTCACAGAGTGGACTCTTCCCCATTCCAAACTTTAATTTTGCAACACATCAATTTTTAGCCAATATGTAAGAGCAACAAATGATTAATTAATCTGCTTTTTATTCCTATTAATTATGAATGTAGCTGTTTGTTTGTAAACATTACTCTTTGTAAGTAAAATCATTAATTAGTAATCATCAGCTTGTTAATAATGAGCCCTGGATTTGCTTTTTTTTTTTTTCAGAATCACTGGGAGAAGGTTTTTGTCACAAATACAAATATTTGTATGCAAATATTTATGTACCTCCATTGGAATGTTGTCCTTAGCTGAGCAACCTATGTTATTAAAAGTGAGAGAAGTAGTGAGATGTGAGAAAACTTAACATGCTTTTCTGACTTTTTTAATATGTGCCTTTTTTTCCATTCAAAACCTTTAGAATGTATTTTCTCTATTAAGCAGATTTATTTTGGAGAATTTGTGGGAGGAAAGTGCAATGAATAACTTTTTTGGAGATACATGAAAAATGCTGACAGGTTTGAAATAAAGCATACTAGTTCCCTACTGAGATTCATACTTACTACTGTGTGATCTCCTGTGTTATCTGTAGAGAATGTCTTTGTACATCAGAGAAACAAAAAGATTTTAATCAGATTTATTTTATTGAACTCATGATATATGTGAAGAATCGTAATGCCAGTACTTCTGCTGCATTTTTGTCATTGAATAATAAATCATTGCTGTAGCTGCACAACGGGGTATGTAGCAATGCTGATGGTGGCAGTCTAGACCTGAGCTGAAGTGGATTATTTTGAAACAGAGCAAAAAGGTAGATAGCAGGGCTCAGCAGAACAGTTTTGGGGCTAGAACCTGGTGACTAATGACAGGAAAAGAGATAACAGAAATTAGGTTTAACTGAAAGATGATATCTTTCACAATCCTTGGATATCCTTTGTAACCTAGTTATGAAACTGTCATATAAACATTAATGAACACATTTGCAACACTCTCGTTAGAACTGAGATGTCTGTGCTAATATACAGGTATATACAGATATAATATATATCTTAATATACAGATAGACAGGGAGGGCGCTGGAAGACTGGATGATCTGCCTTTTATCCCAAGGGAGGTGCAAATGCATGGGGCTTGGGAAAAGCAGGTTTTAGAGTGCATTTTCCTAGTGTGGTGCCTCAACAACATAAGGTTTTGGGGGTTTTAAGCAGGATTTGGTTGTTACATGTCTTTCCAAGGAAGCAAAGCTGTGCTTTTGTGTTCTGCGCTTGTGCCTTGTTCTTGTCCTGTCTTTGGAACTGAGATGTGAGAGTGGTACTCCTGCATGAGAGCTCCTGATCAGACAAAGAAAGTCTATCTCATTTGGCTCCTCAAGTGACACGCTCTTGAGATACTGTCAATGCTCTGACCTGTTGTAAACAACTCATTAAGTAGTGGCGTGTGCTGCCATATACCAATAGTTGTGTGTAGCTCTTGTAACATGAAATAGTGTGTCAAATTATTAAAGTTTAACAAATTCTTGGGATTTCTTACCAAAATAATCTGTTCAAAGACAATAGACTTAGAAGAAAACAAGAAAAAGAGATTCTGATGAGTCCAGCAGTAAAAAGCCCCAACAAACATAA